ATATATATATATATATATATATATATATATATATATAAAAACATAAGATATTTTTCTTAAATATATTCATGCATGTGTGTGTATTTATATATACATAATAAATATACACAGTACACACATATATTATGTACACAAAAGCTTTTATTTTGGATAAAATCCAAAAAGCCTCTTCATCCAAAAATCCTCTTCATCCTCCCAACAAAAAAAGTGCATGAAAAACTCATTCATGAACGAAAAGATGCACCCTCTTTTCAAGCTTAGAGCCGTGAAAACAACATGGATTTGATAGATATAAGGCAATATAATATTGTCATTAAGAATTTAGTAGAATTTAAGGGTGAAATTTACATGGAGTACACTGTAAAAAAAAGAAGTTTTTAAGTTTTAAGTACCTGAAAAAAAAAAAACAAAGATTACTGGAGAAAGTTTTACAAGAAAATACTATATTTCAATCATTGCACTTCAAAATTGCATGTTTAATTCTGTTTCTTAGTAATTAATTGTGAAATTTACTAGCAATTTCCAAGCAAAAATTGTTTTTGTTTTTTACATTTTCTGTATAAAATTGGCACAGACTCCAAAACTTAATAATCATGTTTTCCTGCATGATTTGAGAAAAACTTCAATGGAAATGAGAAACGAGATCTCCTTAATCTCTTTTGCTAAATAAAGTCTCCTACTGTACGTCTCAGATGTTTCTCCTGAGAAAAAGTATGCGTTCAACTCAAACATTTTTGATCAAATGACTCAACTGCATCGATTTTTATTTCTTCTGAGGACATTTAGGAGAAAACGTGAAAATGTTATGTGGATTAGGCTTAGACTTAGTGGTTAGACCAATCCTTCTATCATATTTTCCTCCTTTTCAATGCATTAGAGTATATGAACACATCAGTGAAAGCATATGCCAAAAACAGATTTTGATGAAATATTTAACTACTGTATATGCAATGAAGGACGGCATTTAAGAAAGGCATCTCAAGCTGTGCTCAGATTCGCCAAGATCCAAAGTCTGCACTCAAAAGCCAGAGATCTCAATCCAATGACTCATTCCCATCTATTTTTATGTCTCCTGATGAATTTTAGGAGAATCATTTCATTAAATGAAGCATAAATATCTGCATAAATATCTATAAATATATGTCTGTATCTATCTGTATTTATGTTCTACTGTTAGTGTTATCTGTATGAACCAAGGGACTGTGAGTAATGCATTTTCAATTCTCTGTGTGTATGTGCTGTACATGTGGAAGAATTGACAATAAAGCAGACTTGACTTGACTTGACTAAATGAGCACTGTCCTTGAGGAGGTAGTGCAACAAACTCCTGAAACACGTGAATATTTAGAACAATGAGAGGGAAAACTGTCAGCATCTCTCTGTGATTTGTCAAGCTGATAGCGTGCGCTTACGGCAGAGCATTGTTTCATTACTGTTTTACACGGGAGCATGCATCGCAAATGGCAATATGTATTTCAAATGTCAGTGCGTGATGGCCAGTCGCTCGTGTTCATCAGCTGTCACCTTCATAACGCCTCGTATATATATCGAGCAGAATATCTAAACTGATCAACATGAAAAGATCTAGGGACGAAGAAAACGAGCGAAACCAAATGAGAAAGCCAGCGCTGTTTGAGCGAGCACATCTGCTTCGGACGTTTTCAAACATCTCTCTTTAGATTAAACAAGTGGAGATTGTCCAGGTCCTGAACGTACATCATAAGATCGGTTTCAAAAGAGACTGTTATTGATGGTGCCTTTGATATTTCACACAAACTCTAAACAACATCACAAACGACAGGTTTACTTTTTATTTTCACCAACAAAATCAAACTTTAGTCATTGTGTACTCACTACTAAACCTGTATGTGTTTCTTTCTTCTGTTGAATACAAAAAAAAAAGCTATTTTGAAGAATGTTACTAACCAGACAGTTGCTGGCACCCATTGACTTCCATAGTATGGAAAAAATACTATGGAAGTCAATGGGTACCAGGAAACATTTGGTTACACATTCTTCAAAATATCTTCTTTTGAGTTCCAGATGAGACAGAAACTCATACAGGTTTGAAACAAGTTAAGGATTAGTAAATATAATGACAGAAGTTTGATTTTTGGGTGAACTGTCCCTTTAAGAGTCTTATTATGACTTATTATCCTGACTTTAAAAATATAATGTCAGAAAATTTAGATTTACACAAACACAAACCCATATTTATCTAAAAAACTACTAGACAGTAATGCATCACATTATAAAATAGCAGCAGGTGCATGAGTTTAATCTAAAAAATGCTGGGTTGTTTCAACCCAACTTTGGGTCAAATATGGACTAACCCAACTTTTGGGCTAAAAATGTAATGTAAAAATTTAACCCAACAGCTGGATTAGACCACATTTGACCCAAAGTTGGTTTGAAACAACCCAGCATTTTTTAGAGGTTACACATTCTTCAAAATATCTTCTTTTGAGTTCCAGATGAGACAGAAACTCATACAGGTTTGAAACAAGTTAAGGATTAGTAAATATAATGACAGAAGTTTGATTTTTGGGTGAACTGTCCCTTTAAGAGTCTTATTATGACTTATTATCCTGACTTTAAAAATATAATGTCAGAAAATTTAGATTTACACAAACACAAACCCATATTTATCTAAAAAACTACTAGACAGTAATGCATCACATTATAAAATAGCAGCAGGTGCATGAGTTTAAGCACTCTCAAACTTCACATTTCCCACCGATTCTTCTCATGCTTTAGTCTCAAATACGCTCTTCATCCAAACAAAAAAGTGCATAAAAACCTCATTTATAACTAAAAAGATTCACCCTCTTTTCATGAGTGTATGTTTCAAGCTTTGAGCTGTGAAAACGACGTGGATTTGATAGTTTTTCTATCATATTTTCCTGCTTTTCAATGCATGAGAGTATACGAACACATCAATCAAAGCATCTGGCAAAAACAGATTTTGACGAAATATTTAATTATACGCAATGAAGGATGAGAAAGGCGTTTAATAAAAGCCTCCGAGGTTGATGAATACTGTATTCACGGCTTAATCAGCGCTCTTGTTTTGGGCCAAGGAGCTCCGAGAGCGAGGTATGGAAAAGGAGAGAGAGTGTTTAGCATGAAAATGCAATTTGCGTTTTTCAAAAGAGAAACAATGAATGTAATATTCACATTAATTTTTATTTCAATTTTGGTTTTAGTTATTTTAGTACATCAAGGTAAACTAAATTAAAATAAGAAATGTTGCATTTTGCATTGAAAATTATTCATTTTACATATTTTATTTTATTAAAATATATAAATATTTTATTATTTAATTTCAGTTAATGTTTGTTTTATTTCAAGTAACCAATTATTATTATGATTATTATTTAAAAAAAAAAATTTTCAGTTCCAGTTTTAGTTTAAGATAACTATAAGAAATATAAGAAACCTATAAGAAACCTGGTATAAATTTAAACATTTTAAAATCAAGATACATTTACTTGAGAGACAAAATAACATTAGATATTGTCTTGTTTTCTGATTTACTTTTTCTTGTTTTAAACATAAATACTGAGCAAAAAAAATCATTCTTTACAATGTATTGCATGTTGCATATTGCATTTTAGTAATTTTTAATGTGCTTTTATCATGTACCTATTAGTTTTTTATATTTAATTAAAATTATATCTATATTTTTTTATAGATATTTATATATATATTTATATATTTAAATATATATTTTATATATATTTATATTTTATTTATTTATATTTCAGTTTTAGTTTTAGTCATTTTAACACTTCAGCTTATTTCAGTTGACCCCACAGATATTTTTTCTTTTTTTTTAAGCATAATTACCAAGAAAATCATGTTTTACAGTGCATGACTGTAAATGCAGCTGTCATAATGGAAGCAAATTAACTACATGCTTCAAACAAAATCATTCTTTCTGGGTTCACATTGAGGAGGTTCACATTAGAAAACCAGACAGATTTCTAAGTGTGCATCAAAGAAACAGCACAAAAGAAGAGGACAGAAAAGGCTGGGGGTTGTGGAAGAGAAAGACTGAATTTACTGCAGCCAATGCAAACAAAGTGAATGAAATGCAATGCAGGCTAATGTAATTGCTTGTCAATCATTTCACCATCCCAGAATCACCGTTTCCATTTCTTTTTGGCAACAAGTGCAGCCAATTCCCTGTGAAACTGGGACGG